TCGAGGTGCAATGCCCTCACTCGCCAGCCGAATGCAGTGCAGAAAAGTGTGGACGGATCGCCATCTGTTTCCATCTGTACGGGATAGCGTGTTGCCCCCTTGCACGTGTAGTTTATCTCCGGGCGCTTTGGTTTCCTCCCACGTGTAAATACCCATTCATTGGACGATAGCATCTGAATATATAGAGGACCGCAGAGCTTGGGAGGGAATTTCGTGCCTGTTCATTCATCCATGGTTCCTCCTCACACCTCTGAGTCATCCTCTATCTTCGAGAGGGAGCACTGCGTGGCAGCGACAGAGCGCTACGAGTTATCATCATTATTATTATTTGACCCAGTGCTGCACTTCGGTGATTGGTGTGCATTGACGAAGGTGGCGGGGGAAGCAAAGATGTGACACTGTGGAAGTGCAGTACAACGATGGAATGTTGCCGCACTGCCCTGTGCTGTCCGCAGTGGCCTGTCACCTTGCTGTAAAGAGACATCATCATCATCTCCCTCTTCCCTCATTCTCTTCGCAGGAAAAGAGAACGAGATATCCAAGGATGCCGCGAACAGATGGACAGGTATCGTACTTATATGTGCTATGCCGGCTCACGAACACCACTTACCCCAGAAGGCTGTTAAAGCTATAGGGGGCGATCTTTGTAATGTAAGCGTCTCTCTGTGCTTGTGCTGTTTTTGTGTGAGTGCAGACAATGTGTTCTCCATCAAGTCGTGGGCCAAGAGGAGGTTCGGGCTGGAGGAGGATCAGCTGGACAAGTCTTTCGGGATTCCTGAGGAGTTTGACTACATCGAGTAACGATCGTGGATTTGTCCCAGCCGGCACACCACGTCCAGTATCCCCCTCCCCTTGGCCGCAGCTACTCGTCGCAGCCAAAGCGGACAGCAGCATGAAGCCCACGTGGAGTCCTCTTGACGAGTTGACGACACGTGGCGTTTTCCCGGTGTATTTCTCCAACGCGTGTTCATGGTGTACCGCGTCGTCGTTCAGAGTGATGTCCGACGTTTCGTTCCACGCACCGGGAGCCAAATTCAGGTCCTGCAGAAGCTGTCGGCACGAGGAGTGGAACGTCATCGAGGCCGTTCCCTTCGTCTCCGCGCACTTTCCCACATCTTTGACTTCCTCATTTCGACCTCGTTCCCTCCTCTGCTCCCACCTCTTCCAAGTGGTCACCTTGCCAGCGTGGAAGTGTAGGCCAACTACCGTCTAGAGCTGTGGCTGGTGGAAGCAACGCCCGCCAGCAAGGGGTGTGTGCAAGCCATTGCAGGGCTGCACCTGTGTCTCTGCCTACTGCAGGCTCTACCAGAAGTGAATGAATCCCTGGTGACCACCAAAGCCTTTGTCAGGCCACTTGCCTGTGGTGGACACGATGAGTGGAGGTGGTGGGTGGAGGTAGCGGTGTTTCACTGCTTCCACGCCCGTGCGGGGTGATCCCGCAACTCGCTGTGGGTGGTGGCTCTGACCATGACCAAAACCTGAACCCTATCCGTGACCTTGTCTCAAAACCCGATCTGCCTGACCCTTATCCTGCCCATCCTGTTGTACCCATACATAGTTGCGTCTGGATCGATTCAATTGGCAGCAACGGTGTTTTTAACAACGGGGGTGTTGTTCTGGCCGTCTTGCATTTGTGAGTGCTGGTTGTGAGGGCCTATAAGGACGCCTGTGTTTAAACATGTGTGTGCTCACATGAGTTCACGTGTGTTTTCACGGTTGCGCTATCTCTCTGCTGCATTTTCCGGGTCGTGCCGCTTGCGTGTTGTTCGTGCACGGTGTCCGATGTCTCGCTCCGCATGCTGGGTACTTGTTCAGGAACTGAATCGCATCGGAGAGCTGCTGCACGCGAGTGAGCCTGCACCTCTGTGTTGATTGATCCATGGACCGGAGCAGACATCCAGCTGAGGTTCCAGCTCGGCACCATCGTTATTCTACCATCTGATATCTCCACTCTTTTCAAGAGGTTATCATTTATTCACTGTTGTTGGCCACGTAAAGGAATTGGGACATCTAAGGTTACACCACCTCTGGTGGAACCGACAACATTAAATATCTGAAAGCAAACTCAACACATTCTTCATTAACCCTGTGAGCGGCCTTTAAATAAAACAAATGTAATAAAAGACGTTTCGGGCATTGAGCCTCCTCCGATGTAATATATTGACGAATATGTTGAGTTTAATTTTTTGTTATTTTATTTACTGTGCTCGTACACCACTGTCCACGCAGCAGCAGCCCCAACTCATTTGATAGTAAATGATCTGGTCCTGGGCTCATAGACATAATATACCACGTGTAGATTCTAGTAGAAGGAAGGAAGCGATGACATGTGTGATGGCATCAGTGACCCTTAACATGATGACGTCTTGACCTTGTCTGTTTGGGTGTTTTTTTTTACGGGAGCGGTAGTGTAGTGCTTAGCACGCTTTGAACCTGGCAACCCAAAGTTTATTCCGCTCTCTGCCAACACCAGGGACGATTATCTGAATCAGTCCCGGGCGTCCCCTAGGTCAACTTGGCCTCAAATGAGTACCTGCTGCGATGTATAAACATCACTCGAGAGACAAAGGTGGCCAGGCGTGGTTCTGGCCGCCCACTCCTTCGTGTACCGTGCCGGCCTTCATAGTTTCTTGCTAATATTACTTGCCCCAACAGTTTGTTGAGACTATACGGAGGATATTTGTATTGTTGGCAAACAAAAATAAACCTATTTCCATTGTTTGACTTTTACAAAATTCCTTTGAAATGTTGATGTTTATATCACCAGGTATAGTTGCAACCGCATCTCATGACCCTGTCCAGAATAGCAATGAGTAGGACATGCGCGTCACGGAGAAAGGAGGCATTTAATTATTTATTGTGAAGGCGCTGTCAGGCAACTGAGAAGAGGGCAGTATTCATTCTGAACAGGGGCAGGGAGTCTACCTCCTGCCAACGAGCCTTCGACACTTCACGAGACGGCCTCAAGGTGCACCTAGCCTGGCACAAGCGGCATTGTAACGCGACCGCCACTTTGTTGTTGGTGTGTGCGGCCAAATTTGCAGAACTTTACTGATGCCACCGAGCACAAGCTTTGGGGTGCGTCTTTCCATCACGTCTTATAATTCTTGGAATGTGGAATGTGGTGCTAATCTCTATCCAAACCGGATCCAGCCTCTTCTAAATCTCCCCGCCGCCCGTTGTGAAAACAGACGCTGCTCCTCCGTGAAGCTCACTCGCTCCTGCCTCTCTTCCCTCCTCCCACATCATCATCACCGCCCTCTCGTCATCTCCGTCATCTCGGCCCGGTCATTCCTCCTCTCTCTTCCTGCTGCTCATCTTGAGCCGTGCCCGCGTCCTTGTCCGTCTTGGGGGACTCCCGTCCCGTCATCCCTTCTCTCTCCCATCCCTTTCTCCGTGTGCCGAGCGTTACATTCTTGCCTTCTCTACTCCTCCTCCACCTCGCGTACAACGTGTTGTTGTTATATTCATGGCATGCGGGCATGCCCCGGGAGCGTGTTTGCGGGGGTGTGTGTTGCAGTGTTCATATACACAATGCCTTAAACTGAGTTACCTGGGCGCCGTGTGTAACCTTCGACACTGGGGAGACAAAGGGGGCCGGGCGTGGTGTTGGTCACCTACCCCCTCGTTACCTCGTGTGCCGTGCCGGCCTTCGTAGTTGCTCGCTAACAGCACTTGCGCCAACACCCTGTTAAAGGCGACATTGGGACATTTTTTGCAGTGTTCAGTGCAGGAATACATGGTGTGTTTAAAAAAAAACGTACCGTGCGATGTGTCTGTGAGTAATAAGAGACGTAAGACTGCTGATGGGTCTCGGGTTAGGTCCCGGTTGCTGATGCACTTTAGTGCGGCCCTTTGAAACGTTGGTATTAACCATGCCATGTCCTAAGGGTGCCTTCGTCTGGCTCGATGAGATATTCGCATTCCACATCGTTGTGCCTTATCATCATCATCAGTCGTGAAATATCCACTGCTGGATGAGAGCCTGCCCCCAAATTCGTCGCCATCTGTCACGGTCATACGAGTCCATTCCATCGCTCCGTCTCCACGGAGAGCGATCTTCTCGGTTGGCGATCGCTCCGCTGGCTCCCGCGTCGCCCTTAGTCTCAGCCACGGCCATCGCCATTCTCGTCTCAGCCACGTGCCCTGCTCGATGACAATTCGTACCGCCAGTCCCCTGCTTTACGAACGTCTCCCGGTGGCTTGTCGGTTCATGGGGGCCTATTTGACCATACCGCACCATCCTAGTCAGTGGCGACTCGGTTTGTAACATCATTGCTCTACACTTGATGTTCGCCGTGGCCAGAAATCGAACTCAGGTACCCGGGTTCATAGCCCAGTAGGCTAACCACTGCGCCACCGCTCCACAGCGTGTTGTGATTGATGTCGAGGCTCGTGGTGGTGGTGGTGTCGGAGCGCGCACGTGTCCATGCGCGATGGAAAATGCACGCAGCCCGATCGTGGAATTTGTGGAATGAAACGGCCGGCACAGTGACTCGGGAATGGTCCTTTTTAATCCGTGAATTCCTCACCGAGTCTCACAATCCCGGTGATCTTGGATTGTTTTTTTTAATCTATCATCATTGAATCATTCATTATCCATCCATTATAATTCACAATCGTCATATATGTATAAATGATTTAAACTCTTTTGCACCGTACGTAACCAACCGTGCTAATACATCAATCACTCATCTACCCATCCATAATTATCCACCAATCACCACATATCCATTCATCGCAAATAAATTGCCATAGATCATCATCAAATCATAAAGTGTCATCCACCATCATCATCCGTCACTCGTCTCCCCGTGCCGTCGTTCCCTGCAGGATGCGAGTGGCTGGATGGGAGGAGCAGGCGGGCAAGCGCAGTGGGCGCGGTGAGCCCGCTCACCTTGGCGCACGAGGGTCTCAGGTGAGCGCGGAGAGGGGGAGGGAGGAGGAGTAGGAGGAGGAAGCGAGAGGGAGTGTTCAGAGAGGGAGAGAGAGGCGGGTCCTGCTCCTTTGTGCTCAAAGTCATCGCCATCGCCTGGATTACTTCGCGAAAGCGCCGTGCTCTCTCGCTCTCCAGGGAGAGGAGAAGGTAGAGGGAGGGGATAGGAGAGAGGAGAAGGGAGAGGAGGGATAGCGTCCCTCGGTGTCACGATGAGCCAGCTCGCGAGCAAGTTGCGCACACTGGCGCAGAGACGAGAGGTGAGTGGGTGGCTCGTAGCGACTCACTCCGACCATACACTCACTCGTAGCGACTCACTCCGACTATACAGACTCATAGCGACTCACTCCGACTATAACACAACGATGCTCTGTGTAGCCTTAACAAACTTTTTTGGAGCAATTGCTGTCAGCAAGCGCATATGAAGGTCGGCACAGCACACAAGGGGTGGCTTTGTTTCCTCCGTGGGGATGTTTACACACCGCACCAGGTAGTCGCGTGAGTCGACTTAGAGGAGGTCCAGGACCGGTTCAGATAATCGTCACTGGTGTGGACCGTGAGCGGGAGTCGAACTCGGTTCGCCGGGTTCGTAGCGCAGCGTGGCGCTCACCGTTACTCTACCGCGCCTCGTTAATGCCTACACACATCCGCATACACACACACACACAGACATACACACACACCAACTTACACACATCCATACACAGGCCGACTCACGCAAACTTGTACGCAGACATCACACGCAGGCACGCACACTCACGCGTACGTATCCACACTCCGACTTGCGCACTCACGCAGACACGCACACACAGACACTCACATACACACAGACACGCACACACACACACACACAGACACTCACATACACACAGACACGAACACACACACACAGACACTCACATACACACAGACACGAACACACACACAGACACTCACATACACACAGACACGCACACACACACACAGACACGCACACACACACAGACACTCACATACACACAGACACGCACACACACACAGACACGCACACACACACAGACACTCACATACACACAGACACGCACACACACACAGACACGCACACACACACAGACACTCACATACACACAGACACGCACACACACACAGACACTCACATACACACAGACACGCACACACACACACAGACACGCACACACACACAGACACTCGCATACACACAGACACGAACGCACACACACAGACACGCACACACACACAGACACTCGCATACACACAGACACGCACACACACACTCACATACACACAGACACGAACACACACAAACACAGACACGCACACACACACAGACACTCGCATACACACAGACACGCACACACACACACAGACACGAACGCACACACACACAGACACGCACAGAGACACGCACGCACACACACAGACACACACACAGACACGCGCACACACACACGCACACACACACACGCACACACAGACACGCGGGCGTGCACACAGGGCGCTTTAACGTATCCGCCTCGGGACATTCCCGTGAATGTGATTCAAATGTACACGCGCGTAAGCATCTGTGTGTGCAGTCCATCTCATCTCCATCTCATCATCTCCGGAGCCGCGTGACGATGGCAGCCTCGTCACGTGGTGCGCGCCCGTGTACAGTGCCGCTCACTTTACCTGCGAGTCCGGCTCTCACCTGTGTCTGAGCCTGTGAGCGTGAACCTGTGTCTCACGTCGTGTCCCTCACCTGACTATCACCTGTGTCTCACGTCGTGTCCCTCACCTGACTATCACCTGTGTCACACGTCGTGTCCCTCACCCGTGTCTCACCTGTGTCTAAACCCCACCTGTCTCTAAACCCCACCTGTCTCTATACCTAACCTGTGTATCTGAACCTATGTCTGAACCTCGCTTTTATTACCTTTCTCTCAGCTGTATCATTCCTGTGTCTGATTCTCACTTTTGTCTCACCTGTGTATCTCACCTGTCTGTCCGAATCTCTCGGTCTCACCTGCGCTTCTAATCTGTGTCTAACATGTGTATCTGAATCTCACCTGTGTATCTCACCTGTGTCTAAAACTCATCCGTATTTTATCCACGTCTCTCACCTGTATATCACCTATGTATCTCAACCTCAGCTGTGTATTTCATCTGTAAGGCTGTGCCTCACACGCTCACACGCATAGCAATGCATATTATATGTGCACGTATGCATCCGCTAGAGGCGTTAGTCGAATCTTCAATCATCATCGGACATGATCTATCGGCCGTTGGATCAAGACTTCCCCAAGCCTGAGCGAATGGGGGATGGGGGAAGTAGCTGGTGAGAGTTAATGAATACACCTTGATTAAGGATTAAGAGTCGGTGGTTTCCTGCTCAAGCGAGCGTGGGGGCGTTGCTCGCTTTGCTACAGCCTGGAGCCGGTAGTGGAAATTCCACATTCCTATGGCGGGGGCGGGCTAAGAAGCAGCACACCTTTTCGAGAGGAGAGTTAGGAGAGTCGAGTGAGGAGAGTCGAGTGAAGAAGAGAGGGGAGAGGCAGGAGAGCGCGTGGAGGGGAGTGCTGAGATGAGAGCTTAGAGCGAGGCATGGAGGGAGGATCTGGAGGGCTGAGTGAGATGTTGAAGTTGGACCGGGATCGTACCGGGAGCCGTGGTGAGTGTTGGGGTTCGTGGGGGGTGGAGCCGGTGACAGCGGCTGAGATTTCATCATCGCTCAGCGATGGGTCACTCTGCTGGTGTCTGCATTCCTCTGCGACTTCCCACGTCTAGCATAGTGACATATAAACACGGTGGCACGCGGCCGTGGACAAAGCGAGATAAGAGTGTATTCCCTCTTTAACCTTCACGGCCCCGTTTCCGTGTTTACCGATCTGCACCATCCTTCGTCAATCGCACAATGTCCTTAAAATGAAAAGCAATAAATACGCGACGTTTCGGGCAACGGCCCTGCTAACGAGCACACTAAACCATATCTTCGAGTGGTATGAAGGCTATTGTTCCACATGTGCTATGAAGGCCCATTTCCCGAAACGTCTTATAAATATACGGATTCAGGAACCTTCCTTCCAAAAAACAAAGATCCCCCGTATAGCCTTTAACAAACTCACGGGCCAAGTGCCGTTAGCGAGCGAGCACCGATATCAAGGACGGCACGGCGGCACACGAGTGGGTGGCGTGGCAACACCGCGCCCGGCCGCCTTTGTCTCTCCGGTGATGATTGATGTCGACTTAGGGAAGGCCTAGGACGGGTTCAGATATTTGCTGTCACCGTTACAGTTGTTGTTACTGCCGTGCGTGCGAATCGTTCTCTGTTCGCCGTGTTTGCAGCACAGTGCCCTAACCACTGCGCCACCGCTCCTCGTGTCCCCGCGCGCACAGCTCTCCCGAGCCCCGAGTCCCATCGGCACGTCGGAGACCCCGGGCAGACCCCCGCTCGCCGCCCCCTCCGCTCCGAGCCCGGGGGGTGACCCCGAACAGCAGGGAGAGGCGGGCGGTGGCGTGAAGCGTTTCGAGGTCCTCTATGTGGGGCGCCTCGCAGTGGGGGGCAAATTGGGCCCCCCCTCGCTTGTCGACGACAGCATCACGGCGCTGCACTGGCGCTACGGCGCTGAAGGGGACAGCTCCCCGGAGGAGCCCTGCGAGCCCGGTCGAGACCCCTTCGAAGCCGACCCCCCCGACCCCGCGGGGAGCCCGGGCGGGCCCCGTGGCGGGCAGAGTGCGGGGTCCAGGAGGAGCAAGCTGGACATGCAGAGGGACCGCACGATGCTATTCCAGGTGCGCGCCTTTACCTTTAGCTGCGTGTGTTGTTTTATATTTTTTATATATTGGCGCGTTCCCACTCGGGCTGAATTGTGTGTTTTGGTCGCTCTGCCAGTCACGTGGTTGGAACCGTTGGGAACAACGTGTTTCTACTCATCCCATCAAGCAAAACTCTGCGCCGGTTTCGACATTCAGTTCTAGATTTGAAGCTTTCATGACTGCAATGATTCATATTCTTAGGTTTTTTCGGTAAAGTCACGTAGGTAAAAAAATAATAATAAAAATATAAAAAATTATAATAGAAATAAAATAATAAATCACGACGTTTCGGAGGCAACACAAGTTTCCGTCATCAGTAAATTTTGCTGTGACGGTCCCACCTGATGATGGAGACTTGTGTTGCCTCCGAAACGTCGTGATTTATTATGTTATTTCTATTATTATTTATTTTATTTTTTATTTTTATTTTTTACCTACGTGACTTTATCGACATTCAGTCTCTCGTCAGCAGCCGAGTGAGGCTTACTTGGACCCATGCTGGTGAACCGCCGATCTTACCCGGCAAGGAGGAGCCCAGAGAGTAAAGAGAGGAAGTATTCTTGCCTCGTTTTGCTTGAGCTTGCCTGTCTGGAATCAGTGCTGCTGACATTGTGCATGTCCATAGGGAAGGCCGTGCGGCTGATGGGGATGTGTAAGGGTTTCAGGTGAGGGGGGGGGGGGTGAGGAGGAGGTGAGGTTGGGGTGGGTGGGTGGGTGGGTGGGTGGGGGGGACACGTGACCGTGAGATTTCAGGGAGGCATCCTCGTGGGAAATTGCGGTGATTGAGCCACGGGCCACGAGCCAGCATCTCGATGTCTCGAGGGAGTGAATCTGACCACTCGCATACACAGTGTGAGTGAGTGGGTGATGGGGTGAGTGGGTGATGGGGTGAGTGGGTGATTATACGAGTGGGCGATAGGGCGAGCGGGTGATGGGATGCGTGCGTGATGCTATGAGCGGATGAGAGTGATGTTATGAGTGGGTAGTTTGAGTGAGTGCCAGTACGAGTGTTGATGGGGTTAGTGAGCGATTTGGGTGAGTGAATGGTGTGGTGAGTGGGTAATGTTGTAAATGGGTGATAATGTGAGTGATTGGGTGGGTAACATTGTGTGTGTGTTTGGAAGGGAAGAGTGTGTGAGCGATGTTGTGAGCGAGTGATCGAGTGGCCACGTGCACCTCGTCCCCAGGTGGGTGAGGCGTACGTCACTCTGGTGAGTCCCGACTGCAAGGGCGTGGTGCTGGAGAGGTCTTTCCAAGACATCTCCTACTGCTCGCGGGTCAGGAGCCACACACGTGCACACACCACACACACACACCACACACGCACACCGCACACACACCACACACACGTACACCACACACATCCACACCACACACACGTACACCACACACACGTGCACCACACACACGTACACCACACACACGTACACCACACACACGTACACCACACACACACACCACACACACACACCACACACACCACACACACCCCTACATGAACATCCCCTTACCCAAGCCACCACTATACAGGTCACGTGATCACGCTGGCCATTATGAACCGCGGTTTACACCACCAATCAACTTGGCAGGCTCAGCCGGGGGAATGCCGCTCACTTGGCCCCCCCCCTTTTTATTACCCCCCCGCCCCCCTCCCCCCCTCAGGGCCTCTCCAGGACCGACCACTTCGGCTTCATCTGCAGGGAGGCGGCCGACTCGGGGCCCGCCAGCACGCACATCTGCTACGTGTTCCAGTGTACGGACACGTCACTGGTCAGCCAGCCCCCCCGCTTCCAAACATTCAAAGCCCCCCTATCAACCCCCCCCCCCCAGCTGTACGTGTGTGTGCTTGTAACCAATTATTGGTATTGGTGTGTGTGTGTGGAGCAGCGGTTAGCACACTGCGCTACGAACCCGGCAATTCGGGTTCGATTCCCTCTGTAAACACCAGTGAAGATTATCTCAATCGGTCCTGGGCATCCCCAAGGTCAACTCGGCCTCAAATAAATACCTGGTGCGGTGTGTAAGCATCGTCACTGGAGAGACAAAGGCGGCCGGGCGTAGTAGCCTGCCGGCCTTCATAGGTGGTCGCTAACCGCCCTTGCCCCAACAGTTTGTGAAGGCTAGAAGGGGGATCTTTGTTCGTGTCTTTGTTATGAGGGTCTCCCCTAGGTCGACTCCGCATTAAATCAGTAACGAGCGCGTTGTGTAAAACATCAGCCCCGGGAGAGATGGAGGTGCCCAGGTGTGGTGGCTGGTCAGCGACTGGAAAAGTTACAAAGTCCTAACCCCCCACACCACGTGACTTCCCAGAACCCCCACGAGAGTCGTGCCGGCCTCGAGTGCTGCTCGCTAACAGCACTTGCCCCAACAGTCTCTTGGGGCCTCCGGGGGGTGGTCTTTGTATGTATGAATGTCTTTGTACGTGGGTCTCCCCTAGGTCGGCTCAGCTTTACATATATGAATACCTGCTGCGGTGTGCAAACAGCAGGGAGACAAAGGTGGTACTGGTCACCCACCCCCACGTGTGCCCTTACCACGCTGAAGATGTCCTCACTAACAGTAGTTGGCCAAGCAGTCTGTTACCCTTGACTCGCCACGTGTTATTCTTATCCTTTGATGGAGCGGTGCGGATGCGATTTGTCTCTACGGGGGGGGGGGCTTGGTGGGGGGGGGCTTGGTGGGGGGGGCTTGGTGGGGAGGGGCGTGGGCATTTGTTTGTGATGCGGGAATTTGTTTGTGATGCATACCTGCTTGCGTGCGCTCATTCCCCCTGATGAATGGGCAGGGGGCCGTCCCATCCCTCCTCGGCCGTAAGATTCACTAAAGAGAGGCGGCGAGCGCGAGTGAGTCATCCACCCAGCGGGTGGCATGGGGGAGAGGTTTGGGCTGGAGTAGTAGTGGGGGCGGGGGTGGAGTAGTAGTGGGGGGTAGTGGGGGGGGTTGCGCAGCCCCAACCAAACAGAGCAAACCGGTTCCGTGCGCGTCCGCCAGTCTGTGCGCCTGCTTGGCCCTCGCCTCCCGCCCGCGCTGCGACGTCTCGGGGCGCTGATCGCGACTTGGGCGCGAGTGGCGACTCGGCAGCGGCGCGTTTCGCCTCCTCGCGTCCACCCCCCCTCCCCCCTAGTGACCCCCCCCACCCCGAACCCACCCCGAACTTGCACTCCGCCTACGCTCCAACCGCATCCTGCCCCCAGCCCGGGTTCGACACCAGGATGAATGTAAGTGGCAACTGCGCGCGGCTTGGCACCGCCGCCGCCTCTCCTGTGTTGCTCGACTTGCAGCTGCTCTACGTCGTGTTTTCGAGTTGTACCCCCCCCCCCCACCCCCCACGTGTTTGGTCGGCACGATGTCCTAGTTCTCGCTCGTACTGGCGGAGAGGTTGTTCGGCATCCTCCGGTGCTTAATAATAAATAGGTGTATATTAAATTTAATGAAAACTAAACATTTGCTGCTGATGCTACCTGGGTAATGATACAAACGCATAATTGACAAACACAACGCATCGGTCAATAACACCGGCCCAATATGAAACCTCGGATACGATATAAGTGCTACGAAGTAGGGCCATTGCCTGAAACGTCGCCTATTATATATCCTCTTAAAGTCGTCACACAGTGTTGTTGCTGACGATTGCCTTGAGTCGTGGAAAGAGAATGGCTGGGACTGGCTCCAGGTCAGGAGGACTGTAATCTCCATCCCAGGTTTTCCTAGCCGAGAAATCCATGCGGTCGTTTAGCGGCAGAACTGGTCCGGTGACATCCCTGCAAGTTCTCGCCGCGTGATCAGCGGCAACGTCGCCTCTGCTTGCCCATTGTGCTCCCGCCTCGTGGCGTCCGCCCTTGGCAATTACGAAACCCCGGAGCGGAGTTCAACGTCCAGCCTGACCTGGCTCCACTCGTCCATTAAAATTCAATGTTCAGCAGATTGCTCGCTTGCCGATGCTTGCCGAGCTGCTGCATTGGCAGTGGTGTACGAGCACACTTCACAACAACAGCACAATTGTGTGTGTGGCCTTAGAAGGGAAACAACATGTAATACGCGACGCTGCGGGCTATTGAAGGTTGTCCGGAATTTAACACGTTTTTCCACGGAAACTGGTTTGTGTGTGATTCGGTTAAGTGGAACCCCCGTGTGGCCCCTGGTTCTTTGTAGGTTACTCTTTGGTTCTTTCGGTAAAGTCACGTAGAACGAGAAAAAAATAAATTAAATGCTAGCATACGACGTTTCGATTGCAAACAAGCAATCATCGTCAGGTATAAATGAAATAGAAAACAAACCTAGTACACTTAGAAATGTAATGTAATACAACACAGAGTCGGCTAACGTAACAGTCAACACCCTATCTGGTTGATTACGTTCTTCCTGAAAATGCTAAATTTGAACGTTCAAGAATGCTAAATTTGCAATCGAAACGTCGTATGCTAGTATTTAATTTATTATTTCCTCTTTATACGTGACTTTACCGAAAGAACCAAAGAGTAATGCCTGCAGTCACGAAAGCTCCAAATTGAGTTTCTCTGTCGGTTACAAAGTCTCTCCGCTTGTGACCAAATCTCGTTGAGCTCAGGAGGTTCGAGTCTGGGTAGTGATGGATGGGCCACGAACAGTGCCCGAGCAGCCATTCTCAAAGCACTCAACACACTCGTCAACAACGACAACACCGCCGCGTGTGTGGCCTTAAAAGGAAGAAACACATAATAGACGACGTTTTGGGCAATTACCCTTATTAATGTGCTATGAAGAAGAGCCATTGCTCGAAACGTCGCTGTGGGGCCTTGGTGCACCACTACCAACGCAGCAGCAGCACCACCAAGTGTTTTGTTCAGCAGGTGCTGTGGGCGTCTTGGGGGCTAGGTAGTGGGCAGCAGAGGGCAGTGCTACAACAGCAACATGACGAGTTGGTTGTCTTGCGCGGTACTGCTCCGCTCGCAGTCTTCGCCCACCGGCACTGACTGGCGAGCGAGCCGGGCGAGCGTTGCGAGGTTCCTCTTCCTCTCACTCCGCGTCGGAGGATCGGCAGCAGCAGCGCACGCACGGACGCCTGCGCCCCCGAACAGATGTCACGCGCGGCGTTTCAAGTCACTCATTCATGCGCTGACCTTTACCCAAGCGAGGAGGGCCTTTGAGAGTCCTCGTGTGTTTACTCCAGCCCAGTGGGGGGGGGGGGGGGGGGGGGGGCTGTGTTACGCGCGTGCTCGTGGGTTTTCGGGTTGGAAGCGACACTGCGTACTCATTGGCTCGGGTACGCGGGGTGGGGGGGGGTAACGTAGTAGGTCCACGTGACAGCAGAGGGATCGCGCTTGGGTAGAGAGACCTGTGCCTGGATCATCTCCTCTTGCTTGTGTGCTGCCACCAGAGTCACGTGTCTATCCGGTACTCGGCACATGGTGACGATGAGTTGGTCCCATCTGAGCCCTGCAGAGGTCCTCCGAGGTGCACAGCTCCATACTAATGATGTGGTGATGATGAAGACCACGATGATGAAGTGCTCGCTCACAGAACTTGCCCAAGAATGTTGAAGGCTTTCTGGAGGATGTGGAGTGGAGTTTCCTTCGTGTAGTAGGGGGGGGCGGTAGCGTAGCGGTTAGCGCGCTGCGCTACAAACCCGGCCACCCGAGTTCGATTCCCACCCACGGCCAATATCGGGTGACGAATATCTGAACCGGTCCTGGTCTCTCCTAGGTCGACTCAGCCTTGAATGAATATCGGATGCAGTGTGTAAAACATCAGTCCTGGGGAGACAAAGGCGGCTGGAAGGTCACGGTTATTGCCACACCACCCCGTCGTGCAGTTGGTCCGGGCTTCACCGGTGCTCACTAACAGTACTTGCCCCAACAGCCTGCCACAAGGCTATACGGGGGGGAACCTTTGTCACGTCTTTGTGGTGTCGCCCCGCAGGTGGATGAGATCATGATGACGCTGCGGCAGGCCTTCCAATCTGCGGCCGCCACCAAGGTCGCCCGTCGCAGGCCTGGGCCGGAGACGCGGGCAACCACATCCACCCGGCCAGCGCACGGTGCGGCACAGGCCGGGAGCCACCCCTACATGCCTGGAGGTGCATGCCAGGCTGGGGCCAGGGGGCCGTCCATAAATGACGTCACGCACCTGGGGGGGGGGGTCAGATATTTGTAACGATGTGTGACGAGGGGGGGGGGGGTTGAGAAATGTGACGTCACATCAAAATGCGCAACTTTAAATAAATGTAGACAACACGTTCTACTTAATTAAATAGACTTTTTAATAAATGTTTATTCCTACAACATCAGAGTGCAGCGGCACATTAAATATGCACTACAATGACAATAGTTTAAAGCGGTTAGAAGCATGTTAAAAAACATTTGGGGAGGGGGGGGCAGAGCTTCGTGACGTCATATTTAAGGGGGGGTCTGACTTTTTGTGACGCCGTGTGACGAGGGTAGGGGGGGTAAAAAATTGTCCAAAATCGCGTGACGTCATTGATGGACGGCCCCCAGGCTGGAGCGGTGGTGGAGCGTAGCTGTTCCACTGCGCGTCGTTTGGTGTAATGTCCGACGTTTCGCTCCAGTCTGTTCATCTGTTGATCTGTCCCTATCCGCGTTTCCGTCACCCCCCCCCCCCCCCCCAGCCGGTGTCCACGCGAGGAGGGACGACGCTGGTGGGGGGCGAGGCGGGGAGGGCGACGCACGCACGGTGACGTCCGCGCGTCTACGTGCACAGGTGTGGAGAGCGGGTACGCGCGCCACGCCAGGTTGTGAAGTCGTGGGCCGCGTGTGGCCCCGTGGGCCCTTGCTGTCCCCAGCGCTACGTCACATGCTCTGTGCGGCACAGCGAGCGTCGTTCTCGTCGCGCGTTTGGTAAAAACCACCGCTCCTTCCTGCTTCCTGCTGTGTGCAGGAGCCCACGCGGAGCCACATAATCTCGGCCCAGCAGCAGCAGCAGCAAGAGCAGCAGCATCATCAGAGCTCAGGCGGTTTAGGCAAACTGGAATTCCTGAAGAGCAAGGCCTCCAAGGGTCTCGCCACCTCTCTGGAGAACATCTTCTCAGCGCTGGTGAGCGAGTGGGCAGGGGAGAGCCAGTGCAGGGAGGAGAGGGAGTGTTTCTGTATGGACTGGAGAGTGATGCTGCATGGAGTTTAGGGCTGTATGTGTTTGTGTGTGGGGAGCGGTGGTGTAGCGGTTAGCGCTCTGCGCTACGAACCCGGCGACCTGGGCGCGATTCCCGCTCGTGGCCAACGCCAGTGACGATTATCTGAACTGGTCCTGAGCCTCCCCTAGATCGACTCAGCCTCAAATGAGTACCTGGTGCGGTGTGTAAACATCGCCACTAGGGAAACAAAGGCAGTCGGGCGTGGTGCTGGCCACCCACCCCATCATGTACCGTGTCGGCCTTCATAGGTGCTCATTAACAGGACCTACCCCAACAGTCTTTTGCAGGCTATACGGGGGTCTTTGTGTATGCATGTGTGTTCGTGTGTGTGTTCATATGGGGAGCGGTAGTGCAATGGATAGCGTGCGACAAACCCGGCGGTCCGAGTCCGATTCCCACCCGTGGCCCTGCGCGCCACATCGGTGACACATATGTGAACCGGTTCGTGGCCTCCCAGCTCTGTTGATTCATCAGCACTCCTCCTGATGTGGAGTGTAACACACCATCACCGGAGAGACAAAGGCGGCCAGGTGTGGTGCTGGCCATGCACCACCTCGTGTGCCATGCCACCCTTATGGGTGTTCGCTGACAACACTTGCCCTGCAGTCTGTTTGTCTTTGTGTGTGTGAATGGGTGTGTCTCCATGGGGGGGGGGGTGTACGTGTAAGTGTACAAGTGGGTATCGGCCATCGTCATCATCAGCATGCTTTATCCACTACCGGATCGAGGTCTGCCCAAGCGCGTCGCACGCTCCTCACGATCCTGCAACGCGTTAACGATCCACGCGGCCGCTTGCAGAACGAGCCGGTTCCACCACTCCATCTGCACGGTCGACGCCCCCCCCCCCCCCACCGCGATGCATTGCTTCTGTGGGAACAGTGCTGCGCTGATTGCCACTCTTCTTGGTTCTTTCGGTAAAGTCACGTAGAAGGGAAATAATAAAATAATAAAAATAAAACATTCTCAAATAATTCTCACGACGAAACGTCGTTATTATTTTATTATTTCCCTTCTACGTGACTTTACCGAAAGAACCAAGAAGATGAATCCCTGCAGTCACGAAAGCTTGAAATCGAAATCTGATTGCCACTGTCACGTGCAGAGAGAGCGCTCTGACCCGGTCACCCTTCACCACTTTGATTCGTAAACTTTGGTTGGAAGGAGCGGGGGGGGGGGGGTAGAGTCAAGGATGTAATGCATGGGAAAGAGGAATGGGAGAGGGAAGAGAGAAAGAATGGGGGATGAGAGGGAAAGGGATGGAGAAAGGATAGGAGGAATCGGAGCACGGGGGTCAGGGAGGGAGAGAGGCAGCGTCGGGGTCTCGACGCTGCTGCGGCTGCATGGAGAAGCAGCGGCGTCCATTCTCACGGGGGGTGGCGGGGAGCCGAAGGGGCTCCTGGGCCATGGAGCGAAACGTCTGACATCGTGCCGAACGACACGCGGTACGACCCTTAAACACGCCGGAGAGCTGCGTTGGGGAGTGTTTCCGTGAAGATTCAAGAGTGCGTACATAGTGGAGAGCGTTTGTGTGCTGTGCAGACAGAGTACAGATCAGAGAGTGTTGCTAGTAAGTAATTTTTGTACGCAGTGTGCGTGGTTATTGGAGATTGTTTTTGTGTGTGGAGCACGCGAGTGTTTCTGTACGGATCGATGAGTGCGTACAGAGTGTGGAGTGTTTGGTGGCGGTGTGGAGTGTTTGAAGGGGGGGGGGGGGGGGGATGTGGGCACGAGGCTGTGGCGAGCGTTCCGATTATGTGGCCCTGCTTATCTCGGTTGACCTTTGACCCCGCGCCATTATAATAACGAATGTTTGAAACCGCGCTGTGTGGTTCTTCTCTTGCTCCATTTCAATTTTCACATTTTCCGATCCTTTAAAGGGCACAATAATTTACCTTGCATCAACACAAATAACACATCATCATCTTCCTCCTCTGCTTCAGCCGTGGTCAACACGCTGCTGGATGAAACTGCATCCTACTACTTTAACGACATCTTTTTTTTACTTGAAAACATGTTTATTATGTATTTTTAATGTTTGCCATATTCTTATAGCGTTTATTTAATCGTCATTTCTTAATATAAATGACTATTAATCAGTACTGTCCGCTGCCAATCCACTGCTGGATGAAGGCCTCCCTCTACGTGTGCAATGTGTGTCACTTGGGGGGTTGTTTGACCATACTTCACCACGCCGGTCAGTACCGATTGATTGGTCTAGTGAGGGCGACAGGTCGGTCAAGTTCATAGGGCAGTGCGCTATCCAGCACACGACCACTCCACACCACGTTACAATGTTACGTTAATCCTCACGATACCATTCATCAATCGGTGCACCATTGTTAGCCTCGGCTAGCATGTTGACGTCTTTAATGAAGACGGGAGAAAGAGGAACGCGTGGATTAGAGAACAAACTGCAGGTTGCTTGCTCGGCAAAGGAAGAGGAGGGGGGTTTGGCAGGGCGGGATGGCTGGCGAGAGAGAATCACTCGTGAATCACAGACAAAGGTTGGCACCGCAGCCTCGAGGACGTCCTCCACGGGAGATGGAGCGGTGGAATCGGCTTGCGCTTTGAGCCGGATGAATCGTTCACTTGGCAGGATTGCTGAGAGAATGGCGACAACTTGGGGGTGGGGGGGCCTTCATCCAGCAGTGGGTAGATCTTGGCACGCTACAACGACGGCTGCGGCGGTGGTGACGACGACGCTACGGTTGAACGCTGTTGTTGTTGCTGTCGTTTTGTCCCTCGGTGCAGGGAGGCGCCAAGCCCAGGAGTGGCTCTGGGAGCGACAGCCTCAGGTCCCGGAGTAACACCTTCACCTCCGACTCCTCCAGGGTGAGTGGGGCGAGGGGGGGGTCACAGCCCTGTGGGGGGTTCACGGTCTTCAGAGGGGGCGGCGGCAGGGAGAGGGGAGAGGTTCGGCGTGGGGGTGGCCACACACAAGTCGCGTGGTGTGCGGGGGGCTCGAGCTGAAACTTAGTCAAGTGACTCTCTGTGCACCTACGGCCACTCGGCTGCCGAGCGCAATGCGCAGGCGGTGGCACTGCACCGGGGCTCAGCGGGCCACAGAGGCCACAGGTGCCGGGCTACTCGGGGTTGAATAAAGGTCGTCAATGCTGCATATTGGCAGAATCTCGCGTGGGTGAATAATGGGCATCATTCACGAGGCGACGAATCGTCCCGTGTTCTCCGCAGGAGTCGACATCTCCCCCACCCTCCCCCCCTCCACTGCGGCCCCCCCCCACGGGGACCCAAGCCGGCGGAGGGCTGCGTGCCCCCCACGCCCTCTCCACCTCCTCCAACGACCAGGACAGCAGCGACTCCGACACCCCGGAACTGGTGACCCCCAAATACCGGCGGGGGGGTCCGGAGGCGACTGCGGTCGGGGAGGGGCTATCCCGAGGCCGGGACCCCCGTCCCGGGGTCCCACAGGGGTCTGGAGAGGGGGCCTCCTGGAGGAGACCCCCACGTGTGCCGCGGCATCCCACGGTGACCCCAGAAGCCATGGCGGCGCGCAGACGAAGCAGGTGGGGGTCCTCAGGGGTCTGTGTGTGTGGTCACTTTTACAAGGTGTGCCCAAAAAACAGGACCACGGACGGGATCCTGTTTGTGTTGAATAGGTGAAGGCTGCGCATGAGTTTTTTTGGGTGCAGTTTGGAAATGTGCTTGTGACTGAGTGCACCCAACGCGTGTGTTTGGAATGGCAGTTTTTGGGTGCACTTTGTGAATTTTTACGTGGGCGTGGTTGTGGCCTTTTTGTTGTTTTTGGGGTGCACATTGCAAGCGTGAGTTTGCGTGCAGCTTCGGCACTGGGTGAAGTGTGGGTGTCTGTATTCTCGAGTGCACTTGGGAAATGTGCGAGTGGAGCCGGTCATGGCTCAACATTATTGGCGAGAGCTATCTGCAAACTGGGCTTGGTTGGGTACCCCCTCCCATCTCGCCAATCCGCATTTACCAGCATGGTGAAGTATGGTTAAGCACAACATCCCGTGACTCGAAGGCGTTGGGAGACATTCATCCAGAAGTGGATTGACAAAGGGCTGTAAATTATTATTGTGGGTGGACTTTGTGAAACGGTCGCCACTCTTCCTTTCTCTCCACCCCCACGCTCACCCTCACACCAACATCTCCACACACTCACCTCCAAGCACTCACCCTCCACTCACCCGTACATTCACCTCACTCCCACGCTAACCCTCATCCGAGGGAATGAGATTATCGGCACAGTTTAATTAAGAATCGCTACGGGGGGGAGGAGGAGGGGGGGCAGTGCCCCTGCACCCCTGGCAAGGAATGTTACCTCCGTGTCTCTCTGTCCCCCTGTCCCCCTGTCCCCGTGTCCTCGACTCCCCCCGTCTCAACGCCCATGCCCCCGATGGTTCCCGTGCTCCCCTCCTCCCTACGTCTGTATCCGCCGTGTCCCCCGTGACCCCCCTGTCTCTGCCTCTCCCCGTGTCCCCACAATCTGCTTGCTCCTCCGGGTGACGTGGCACATCCTCCGTCCACACATTCCCCCCTCCCCCATTCCCCATCCTCCACCCCACCACAACTCCCTCCATCTCCCTCCTCTCTGCTGGGGATTGGCCGCTCCGCTCTCTGCACACCTGGTGACGTCACGTCTATTTTTAGACGAATGCCTTCTCAATGGAAGGAGGGGGGGTCGGAGGGGAGGGGAGAATAGTATGGGGGGGGGGGTGAAGGGGGAGGGGCTGTCTAAACTCTATGGAGGCAGAGACAGCTGCTGCTGCTCCTGTCACCACGATCTGCAGGCATGGACCTGCCCGCCTCCTGAAGCATTCCAGCACAAGGAGCTCTGTAAGTTAATGCGCCGTCGCGTTTCTACGTTAATAAGTCGTTAAGTTAATAAGTTATCAGGTCAGTGGGTTATTTGGTTAATGAGTCATTGGCCGTAAGCTTACTCCAGTCTGCTACGGCATCCTTAGGCTGGGCCATTAAGTTAATGAGCCGTCACGTCAATGAGCGATCAAGCTGCCGTGGCAGCGAAGTGGCGACACTCGCGCCTCTCAGGTTCAACTCCCGTCCCGGGCTCCTCCTTGTGGAGTTTCTGTGTTCTAGCCCTGTTCTACTCGGTGAGAGGCTGGAAGTGTTGGTGTGTGTCTGTGTGTGTGTCTGTGTGCGTGTCTGTGTGCGTCTGTGTGTCTGTGTGCGGTAGTGTAGCGGTTAGCGCTACGCTCGCTACGAACCTGGCGACCCGGGTTCGATTGCCGCTCACGGCCATCACCAGTGACGATTATCTGAACCGGTCCTGGGCCCTCTCCTAGGCAGACTCGGCCTGAAATAAGTACTGGGTGTGATGTGTAAAAACCGCCACTATGGAGATAAAGGCGGCCGGGCGTGGTGTTGGCCACCCACCCCCCTCGTGTGCAGTGCCGGCCTTTATAGGTGCTCGCAAACAACACTTGCCCCAACAGTCTGTTAAGGCTATACGGGGGATCTTTTTGAGCAGCAGTGTAGTGGTGAGCACCTCCCCCTCAGGGAGGGAGCCCCAGGACCGGTTCAGATAATAATCCTCGCTGGTGTTGATCGTGAGCGGGAATCTAACTCTGGTCACGGGGTTTGTAGTCGAGCGTGCGCTGACCGCGACACGACCATTGTAACCCTGCCACGCCGGGAAACGGCGCCAGAGCTGGGCGGATGGAGAGGCGGGGGAGCCGTTATCAGTCAGCGGCGGGGGCTGTGAGCGATGGGCCACCTATGGAATGTCCACCGTCGCCGTGGAGTGCCATTGTAGTCCCAAGTTTCTGCGCGTGAGTCCACGCGGCACTGCGCGAGTCCACGCGGCACTGCGCGAGCCCACGCGGCACTGCGCGAGCCCACGCGGCACTGCGCGAGCCCACGCGGCACTGCGCGAGCCCACGCGGCACTGCGCGAGCCTACGCGGCACTGCGTGCGTGGCCAGTCTGAGCTCACGTTGTGCGCCTGCGGCCTTCATCGCTGCTTCTCGCTCACAACTATTGCCCCAACGGCTAGTAAGAGGCTACTCGGGGGATCTGTGGCTCGTCTTTGTTACCGTTGCGAGTGGTGAGTTTGGGGTGAGGCAGCTCGCAGCGGGAGCGGCTTTCCCCCCAAAATAGTTTTCATCTCTCTACGCAAGTCAGCTCAAGATTCACGTGGATCCCCACAGAATCCCTCCCCTCTCCTTCCGCCCCCGCCCCCTGTGAAAACGCACCCCGTTCCGTGCAGCGGCGCCGAGGCCCCGGTGCAGCCTCTCCCTCTCCTGCCCCCATGCTCCCGTTTCTCCATTCCTTCCCCATCCCCTTCCCTCTCATCCCCCATTCTGTCTCTTCTCTTTTTCGCTTCCCTCTCCCGTTCCTTTTCCCCATGCATTATTACATCCTTGACTCTGTCCGTGGTGCTATGCCACGGCTAATACCGGGGCTGGCGAGACTCCCTCGTCTGGCGTACAGGAGGTCGTGGGTTCGATCCCCACCTAGACGCCTGCTGCTGCATACTTGGAGTTTGCGTGTTTTTTTCCCTCCACATTTAGAAACATGCTTTTAGAGTATTTGCCGGCTATAAATTTCCACGTGACAAGACACTTGGTTCTGTCATTTGTGGCCAGTATAGAGCTCTGTGAGCCTGAAGTGGTAAAATACAAATATTTCAGTAGTTTGAATACGAATTGTATTTGATTTTGCTAAATAACGATTGCATTTCCCGGATCAGCGCGTCTTCCGTCACGGGGCACACACGCCGCTCCCCGCACTGTTTGCTCCGCTGCTTTCGAGCCATCGTGTTTGCTTTTGCATCACATCGTGCGTGTCGTGTGTCGGCATCTGTGTGTGGGGAGCGGTAGCGCAGTGATTAGCCCACTGCGTTGCAAACCCGACGATCCAGGTTCGATTCCCGCTCGTGACTAATACTATTGGTGGATATTTGAGCCGGTCCTAGGTCTTCTCTAGGTCGTCTTGGCCTTATACGAGTACCCAATGCGGTGTGTAAACATTACCAATGGGGGAAGACAAAGGCGGCCGGGCATGGTATTGGCCACCCACCCCTTCGTGGATGCCGTGCCGTCCTTGATAGGCGCTCGCCAACAGCGAATGCCCCAATAATGTTGAAGGCTATACGGGGGTCTTTGTCTTTGTGCGGTCGTGCAGTGAGGTTGTTGCGGAGCCGCGGAGTGGGGGGGCGCGCCCCCCGCTGGTGCGCCGCCTCTCGTGGAGGCAGCAAATCTTCCTGCGCGCCTCCGAGCTCGACACGAGCTCCTTCACGCGCCCAGGTCAAGAGGTTACCCCGACCAGCGATCCACCGCTCACACCGCCGCACCCTCGCCCACCCTTTCATTCCCACCCATCGCAACCTCCTCCTCTATTCCAAACCTCAAAGTTGCTTAACCAATCCTCCTCCTCCTCCGCCCTACACACGTGTCCCAGCCGTCACAACGTACGCAGCACACAGAGACCAGTGGCACGGTGTGGTGAACGTCGTGCCATGGTGCAAGCATTCTGCCACGACCCGGTGACCCTATAACGGTGCCCCCCCCATCGCCCCCCCCCCCCCCCCGCTCACTGGGTAAGCAGATTCTCTGGACAGCTGCCCGCCGGACGTGCCGGTGCTGTCCCCCACGGCGGAGGAGGGGGAGGGGGGGGAGGAAGAGGGGGGAGCGGCGCAGCGCCGCTGGCACCGCCACGCGGTGAGGACGCGGTGGCGCAAGGCGATCCAGGAGCAGATCCTGCTGCTCAGGATGGACCGCGAGAACCGGAGACTCCAGGGTACGAGCGCGGGCAGAGAGCCCAGCCACAGCGACTCGCCACGACTTGCCACAACTCACGATGACTCACGACGACTCGCCACGACTCGCCACAACTCACGACGACTCACGACGACTCGCCACGACTCGCCACGACTCACGAGGACTCACGAAGACTCGCCACGACTCGCCACGACTCACGACGACTCACGACGACTCACGACGACTCGCCACGACTCACGACAACTCACGAGGACTCACGGCGACTCGCCACGACTCGCCACGACTCGCCACGACTCGCCACGACTCACGACGACTCGCCACGCCAGCTCGCCCGAACTAACTCCCTCCCTCGCCTTACCTCCGTCTCGCCCCCCCCCCCCCCCCCCCCCCCCCGTGATGGCGCGACCGCCGGTGCAGCCCACCACGACGACCTGAACACGAAGCGCGTGAAGCTGGACTACGAGGAGGTGACGCCCTGCCTCAGGGAGGTGACGGCGCTCTGGGAGCACTGGCTCGCCGCTCCCGACCGCGCCCACGCGCTCCGCAGCCACGAGCAGCTCAGCGCCGCCGTGTGCCGCGGTGAGCCTCCCCTCACCCCCCCCCTCGCCCCCCCTCACGTTGAGTCTGCTCGAAACCCCCCCCCTCGCCCCTCCCCCACCCCCCACGTTGAGCCTGCCAGAAACGCGGTGGGCTGGCGTGACACGTGCGGTCATAATAATACGGAGGCACCGGCAGATTTGCATAGAGACCCAAAGAGGCCGTTAGAGATCCGTTAACTGATACGGTGGGACCCATTGACGCGCACACAGGCCAAGAGACTCGCGCACAGAAACACAGATAACCATGGATTAGCATCACAACATCATCCATAATAGAGGTTTTTTGGGTTAGATCGCGTAAATATATAAATATGTCGTTAAACCCGCCACCACCCGACACAGCCAACTAGTAAGAGTTGTCGCGTAAAGAGAACGTGCCAATTCGTCACTAGTACCTCTATCATGGATGATATTGTTCACAAATGCCGACGTGTTAAACTAACCACATAGTCATAAACTTTACATCGAAACCGATAAAATCACAGACGCATAGACTCGCATTATAGAGACCCATAAGCTCTCATCGAGAGCTATACACAATTGCATAGAACCCACGTGCACGTGCGTGGTGCTGGCCACCCACCCCCTCGTGTGCCGTGACGGCTTTCACTGGCGATACTCGCCAACGGCACCTTCCCCAACACTCTGTGTGGGCTACACGGAGGGGGTGGTGGTCTTTGTGTGCGTGCGTGTGCAGGCGTGCCGCGCGCCCGGCGTGGTGAGATCTGGCAGTTCCTCGCTGAGCAGCACCGGCTCCGGCACCCGCAGCGGAGTCAGCACGAGGGGGGGCAGCAGCAACTGGCGGACGTCCCCTACCACACGCTGCTCAAACAGCTGACGGCACAGCAGCACGCCATCCTCATAGACCTGGGTGAGACCACGGGGGGCTGACGAGCGAGCGCCGGCGTTCACGCCGGGCTTGCCGAACGGCGCCACCACCGCATCAGCCTCGAGCGTGGCGGAGATCTCGCTCCACCATGGAGCCCGGTAGCTCCGTGGTGGAGCGAGCGACGCGGCCTCTCGCTTCTCCTCGCTCGCTCCTCCTCGCTCTCCATATCCCCGCTCGCTCCTCGTGTTCCTCACGCCCACTATTCCTCACTCCACCTTGGCCCCACCTCCTCATCACCGCCCCCTGCTCCTCCCCCCCCCCCCCTTCATTACCTCCACCACCCCTGCCGTATCCCGGCAGGACACACAGCCCCAATGTCACCCTGACTCCTCTTTCTTCTTCTCACTTCTCATCGTCACACTCCTCCCTCTTCCCATGTTCCTGAAGGCCACACGTTTCCCACGTTTCCCACGTATCCTCACCCCTCCTCACCCCTCCTCACCCCTCCTCACCCCTCCTCACCCCTCCTCACCTCCCCGTGCCCGCCCCTCCCCGCAGGCCGCACGTTCCCCGCCCACCCGTACTTCTCGGCGCAGCTGGGCTCGGGCCAGCTGGCGCTCTACAACCTGCTCAAGGCCTACTCGCTGCTGGACCCCGAGGTGGGCTACTGCCAGGGCCTGAGCTTCGTGGCCGGCGTGCTGCTGCTGCACCTCGACGAGCGCGACGCCTTCGCCCTCCTCAAGTTCCTCATGGGCCACATGGGCCTGCGCCGCCAGTACCAGCCCGACATGACCACGCTGCAGGTGGGCGCCACGCCAACAGCGCCACCGCCGCCACGGCGCCACCGGCACCGTGCAACCGCTACCACGATAATAATAATAATACTAACAAATAACCTCCGTCTTATAATGCGCCTTTTGGTATTGAAGTATCCCAAAGGACTGCACGTAAAATTACTACTGCGCTCGCAAGTATGGATACAAATCCCAGCGAAAGAGACGGCTAATGATAACAATATCAATGACTTCTCTCCAAATTCCAATGAAATCATACCATCACTGCACCACCGACACCACCGCCAACACCAAACCCCTCTCCCTGCTCTGCTCTCTCCTCTCTCTCCACTCTTTCCTCGCACTCTCCCCATGCCCTCCCTGTGCTCTCCCTGTGCTCTCCCCACGCTCTCCCCGCGTAGATCCAGATGTACCAGCTGTCGCGGCTGCTGCACGACCACCACCGGGAGCTGCACGCCCACATGGAGGAGGCGGAGATTGGGCCCAGCCTCTACGCACCGCCCTGGTTCCTCACGCTCTTCGCGTCGCAGTTCCCCCTCGGATTCGTCGCCCGCGTGTTCGGTCGGTGCCTCGCGCTCGCTCACTCACTCGCTCACTCGCCCTCACTCACTTACTCGCACTCACTCTCACTCACTCACCCCTGTCTTACCCATCCTCACCCTCGCCCGCCCCATCCTCACCCTCGCTCGCCCCACCCTCACCCTGGCTCGCCGCGTCTCGCTCAGTCTTGCCTCTTCCCCACAGGATGCTGCTGCTTTGGTTGTCATCAGAAGTCCCAGCGAACGGCTCCACATGATCTCCCCCCACCCCCGGCCCCCAGACCTGGTGTTCCTGCAGGGCCCCGAGGTGGTGTTCAAGGTGGCGCTGGCGCTGCTGGGCTCGCACGACGCGCTGCTCATGCAGACGTGCGACAGCTTCGAGAGCATCGTGGAGTTCCTCAAGAGCACGCTGCCCAACCTCGGCCTCGTGCAGATGGAGAAGACCATCAACCAGGTACCACGGGGGGGAGGGGCAACCACGCGCAACCGTGCACAACCGCATGCAATGGCGTGCAACCGGGTACAATCTGTTGGAACTCGGAGAAATCGGGTGCAACCTGGTGCAGTCTGATGCAACCGGGATTCAATAAAAAAAGATGTTGTGGCGGTTGATTGATGATGATGATGTGTGTGGTGTGACAATTCTTAGTCATGGTGCTGGTGCTGGAGGTTATGTTCGTGGTGACGACGATGGCGATGATTAAGATGACTACGATGCGATCTCGCCTCCGCAGGTGCTGAGTCTGGACCTGACGCAGCAGCTGCAGGCGTTCGAGGTGGAGTACCGCGTGCTGCGCGACGAGATGCACGCGGGCTCCACGCCGCCCCCCCAGCCCTCCAGGACCCCCCGCGGGGGGAGCGCCGGCGATCAAAACCACGACGACGATCACGACGATCACGACGACGAGGACGAGGCGAGGAGCGGGACGAGCGGAGCGACGCGCTCCGCGGCACTGGAGAGGGAGAACGCGGCGCTCCGCCAGGAGAACGCCGGACTCCGCGCGGAGCTGCAGGTGAGGGGTGGCGGTCGCGCATCTGTGCTTGCGTTGTCCTTGTACCGGTCGCCTTTTGCCGGTGTTCCTCTGGTCTGGAGGAGGCCGTTTCTAGTGTAGGCCAATCCGTTTCAACAACAATGCGCACATTGTCACCAAAGTGCGTTTGTTTGCAGACTTTTGACGCCTTGTGGTAATGGGTGTCTATTAGGTGTTTCAACATGTCAACGCCTCCTGTATTCTTGCCGGGAAGGGTGAAGGCCTGTTCTTTGTCATCCTCTTGATGCTGGCAAAATGGGTCCGCCGCCACGCAGAGCGGGCCCGGGACAATTTCAACGATGCCAGCGACGTAGCCGTCCTGGTCCATCCTGAACGAGCCTCCCTCTTACCCCCCCCCTGCCCCCCAGGCGTTCGTGGACCGCGTGCGGAGCCTGGAGGCGAGCGTCGAGAGCCTGGCGAGCGCCGAGTGCAAGCTGCGGCAGAGCGCGCGCGCCGCCGACATCGAGCGCTCCGCCCTCCTCGCCACCGTGGAGGCCCTGCGACTGCGAGGCGCGGCGGCCGACCCCCCACTATGAAAGGGCCCCCCCCCCCGCTCGCTGCTCTGAGCATGCCCCCCCCCCTCACCGACTATGAGAACGTCTCTGGCACCGCCAGCATGACACCGCCTCTGCGGGATGCGGGGAGGACGATGATTGCGAGTCACGTGGGGTAGAGAGCTGGGGGGAGCTGAGCCCCCCCCCCCCCCCACTCCACTACGCTCACCCCAGACGCCCTGCGATAAAAGACTTCAGCTCCCACGGAGATCACACGTTTGGAGGGGGGCGCATGAGCGGCGATTTTATTCTGGTGGTCGGGGGGGGGGCTTGTATTGGGGGGCCATGCCCCACCTACTGTACAGCAGCGTTGTCCATCTGTTGTGCCCCGCCGAGCTGGGGAGCAGCTCGGAGTTGAGAGGTCACCACCGGCACTCTGGACGGCGCCGGTGGTGATGCCACCAACAAACATCGTCATCGCTCCCTTCCCTCTGGCAGACCCCGGCAGCTGTTTTCACAGTCAACACCTCTGTGGCGGATCCAATTTTAAGTTCATTGATATTTACCACGGAAAAGATATCGACTTGTATTTTTAATGTAAGGGCTTGTTTAAAAAGCTTGACATATCGGGATGTGCCCCCTCCCGTGCCCCCCTCCCCGCTCCCTTGGGAAGTTTCTGATCTGCCTCTGTGCCACCTCGTGACTGCGTGCCCCAAGTCCCATCACACCCATGACGTTACCTCCACTGACGGTGTGGGCGAGTGCCGCCCTTCCCCCTCACCACGTGGAATCGGTGCCCCCCCCCCCCCCCCCCCCCGTGCCCGAGAATCAACTTCAGGGGCAGCGCCGGTGGCCCCGTTGATACGAAAGTGGCTGTGAGTGGACGAAAGCCAAAAACCAGCCCCCCCCCCCCCCTTGCCCTTGTAAAGTCCCAAATAGTCCATGACCCCAGGCCAGATATTTCGTTCAACGGTACCATCCGAGGTTGGCGTAACTTTATCGATTCCAATCAAAATTTGCGGCCAATTAAGAGTGAATTACTTGATAAATGTGTGCGGCTCTGGAGTGTTGCTACCCTCGCTTCTACAGAGTTCTGCTCGGGCCTTCGGACTTGAGAAGGCCCAGAGGGGCCCAAAAACATCAAGGTGGGGGGGAGAGCGAGGAGCGGATTCCGTGCGGCCAAAGTAGCGGTGCAGTGTTACGAGTTGGCGTCATTGTGACGGTGATGATGATGGTGCTGCTGCTGTCCCCTAGCGGCCCAACTGGGCATCACAACATTTACACGGGTTCCCCGTGTAAATGTTAAACTCGCGTGTTATTTTATATATTATATATTAACGTTGAAACCACGTGAGCTTGCCAAACTCGCCTTTTTTTAACGCGAAAGAAAAATCCGTAGCAAATAAAGCCAGTTTACCGCAACACTTTTGTCCCAATTGTTGAACAGCGACAATGTTTTGTATACGTTCAGTCAATTCACCATGCGTGAGTGGGGAGCATTATAGGTAAAATCGAATGACAGAAGCAGGGTTATCTTCCCGCTCTCTCCACGTGTAAATACGTGTTTCGGTCCCATTGGTGAAGCAACATGTACACTTTTAACAATTGCTTTCCAGACCAATCTTATCCAGACCAATGTTATGCGGTAGAACACTGTTGGAGCTGAATGGGTTTGATCAAAGTGCGTCTCAGTCGATTCAGGTCTGCTCTTGAAGTAGAAACGCCACTTGCTGCTGTTATACTCCAGATGCAGCTGCGTGTACACGTGGGCGACCCTGCACGATGCACATGCAGCACGGTGCTGAATAGAACCTCGACAAACAACACGGCAGACGTGTATCACCCTCCTGGAGTTCAGGTGTAAGTTGCAAACACGTTGTGAAACTCCCACGCGTGTGATTGTCCATCTTGGCGCACTGTGTTTGGGGCGATCGTGACGGGGAGGAGGACGACCAGGGGAGGTGTTGGTTCGAGCGCCACGAGTGTTGTGGAGATTGGTTGCGCAAGGGTTTCGTTCGGTCGACACGGAGCCCATCACGGGGATGAGTGGGGGGGGGGGGGGTGAAATGGATGTGCAGTGTTTTTGAGAGGTCACGATTTGCCCTCCGCCTTTGGCGATTCGATGAATTATCGCGATGAATAATCGTACCTCGATGCGAGAATCGAATTTTTTTTTTTATTTTTTTTTTATTTTGGCGGCGAGTGGCTGCAATGGGTCATGTGAACGCACAATTACTCGTCGATGAATCGATGCGCTATCGTCACGCCTGCCAGTCGTTTTGACTCGAGCTCATTTTAACAAAAAGCACCCCATGCCCTCTCTCCATCTACTTTTCGAGGGCAATACAAATACAGCGCCGTGCCTCCGTGCTTGTGTCTACGCGTTAAAAAAAAACGATGTAAGTTTATTTTATGGCATCGGCCACACGAGCAGTGCATGGTCACGGCAGCATTGGTTCGATGCAAGCAAATGTTGTACCGGTTTCAACCACGCATCGTCTCATCAGCAGTGCGCCTACAGCGTCAATGCTGCTGAACTCACAACACGCGCTTTCTGTCTGTAACGCGATGGGATTGAGGCTAAACCGTCGCCATCCATCAAGTAATTTAATTTCACCCTGAACCGTTTTTTAAATAGAAGCCTCGCGATAATGATTTTCACGTGGAGAGGAAAAAAAAGTGATACTTTTTACTTAAAAAATATATATTTTTAATGAAAACCAAAGCGATGATGGGGCGGGGGGGGGGGGTAGCTTCTCCCCCCCCCCCCGGTCCCCGAACACCTCTTCTCTGAACGCGCACACAACGATCCCATGACTCAGAGCCGTCCATCGGGTACGGCGAATCGGAGCGACCGCCCCGGGCCCCGCGTTTCGGGGTGGGGGGCGGGTTGGGGTGTTTCGATGTCACGGCGTCCGACGTAATATTTCCGGTTTAGTTTGAAGGCGTCGGAGGGCCCACGCGGTGGGGTTTACCCCGTGCCCCGCACCCCCCCCCCCCCCCTATGGACGGTCCTGCTGTGAATATCAACAACAATAATTATACTGTGCTTCCAATAAAACGTGCTTCCAAACGTGCTTCTTAAAATTTCAGGAATTTTATTTAAATCTGTGGGAGAGCGATGATGTACAGCGAGGACTAAACACCGCGCAGACGCATGGATTCTGTAGCTCCTCTCGCGCCGGCACGCGTTGATCCACCGACATATACACAGTCTTGATTTGAAGTTTTCGTGACTGCAGGAATCCATACTCTTTGGTTGTTTCGGTAAAGTCACGTGGGTATAAAATAAATCACGACGTTTCGATCGCAACACAAGCGACCGTCATCAGGTGGAACAAATACAGCAGTTCTGCTGTATCTGCTCCACCTGATGACGTGCCTTTACCGAAAGAACCAAAGAGTATGGACATATATACATTTATGATCGGATATTATGATGCGGTTCTCACTGGAGTAAGTGGCTAAGTTAATCGTGCGTACTGCCAATATGTTGTTTGTGCCCGCGACTCGAGCAGGGGAAGGGGAGTAAGAGTCCAGGATGTAATGCATTAGAGAACATACGCAAGTGGTTAGAGACGCATCCGCCTCGCGAGGAGGAGGAGGAGGCGATGCTCGTGAAGGGCGCTGCCGCGAGAGGGAGGCGTCGTGGCCGCCAGGGGGCGGAGTGGTCCAGGGGCTGAGTTCGCTTCCCCGACCCCGGTCGTGTTTGCCGGGGCGCGTGACCGCGCGTGTGTATTTGGAGTGGACCCGCATGCCCAGCCACCGCATGCCTAAACAGCTTTTGTTCGGCCGGATAGAGGGAGGCTAAACGGGCGCGGCACGGGCTAGAGAAGAGATGGAGTGATGTGGTACAGGAGGATGTGGAGCTGAGTGGACTTTGCCGATGACCGGTACTAGCGGTGTAAATATCGGCCTCTGTGGAGGAGGCTCGTGAAGGACGCTATTGCTGGGCAGTTGGAGGCAGTCGCCCTCCAACAACAACGGAGGGCAGAGGAGCGACGCTCACAACAACGAGCGGAGCGCCGGGTGGCTAACGCACAGCAAGTTGGCACAGTAGGGGGCACAGGTGGTACAGCAGCCAGTCGTCTCAGTCAGTCCACCCGTGGCACCTGGGTCTGCCCCATGACCTCCTGCCAGCGGGCGTTCGACACTTCACGTGGCCTCAACGTGCACCCAGCCTGGCACAAGCGCCGTGGTGACATCACCGCCACTTAGTGGCGAATGGTGGTTGTTGTTGTTGAGCCTCGGTGTGTGTCTTTGTGGGGAGCGGTAGTGTAGCGGTTAGCGCGCTGCACTACGAACCTGGCGACCCGAGCTCCATTCCCGCTCACGAACAATAACAGTGGGGGAACATTTGGACCGGTCCTGGTCATCCCCTAGGTCGACTCGGCCTTAAAAATCAATACGTGTCACAGGAGTTGTTTTATTGGCCACTCGATCCCCCGTGTGCCGTGTGTCGGCCTTCATAGGCGTTCGCGAACAGCACTTGCCCCAACAGTTCTGCTCAAGGCTATACGGGGGGTCTTTGTCTTTACGCCTGTGACCAAAGCATCCGGAATGCGCCCGATCTCGCCAGATATCTGCGGCAAAGCAGGTTTGAGCCTGGCTGGCGCTTAGATGGGCGGCCACCTCGCACACTTAGGGTGCCATGGGCAGTTGTGGCACACGTGACGGGCGGCAGAGAGCGGCGCGCCGGATTCTCCCTCCACTGGCGCCGAGCACCGTTAGGTATCGAATGACCCCCTCCCCCCACCATACACACACACGCACGGCGTGAGGAGGCCCTCATCCAGCAGTGGATCGACAACATGACTGTACAGGGACGTGTTGTCAATTGGAGGGGGGAGCGCGCGTGTGTTGGGACGCGTGCGCGTGGGGTGTCAGGGGCCCGCAGAAGTGACGCTCCCTTAATGGCTGGGTTAGCCAGCTTGTTCTCGCTGTATCACCGTCGATCTCGAACACGTGGAGATGAGTTGATGAGCCGTGTCTGTGACAGAGGGCGACTGTCACACGTGAGTAGACTTGCATGCCTGCACTACCTCCATATCGCCACTCCCTCCCTGCCTCCCCTCCTTGACCCCCCTGATCCCAGTCCACCTCCTCCCAGTCCACCCCCTCCCTTACCCTCCTGCATCGCTGACGTTAACCGTGGCGGGGAATCGAACTCGCCTGGTTCGGAACGCAGCGTGACAACTGCTGTGTCAGCGGCACCCCCCACCCGCCCCTTGCCACTCCCTTCACCAACCTGCACTGACCTACGTGGTGAAGTATGGTCAAAACGTGACCAATCCAGTAGTGGATTGGTACACAAAGCGGGCCTGTGACGCAACAGAGACACACGGGCATTGCGAACCAGACGTGTCTCAGTTCGAATCCCAGCCACGGCTAACATCAGTGGCGAGTGACATCACCTAAAGCGTGCACACGACTGCATATTTACACGCGCAGTTTTAACTTTAGCCCGGGGCCTATTCGATGATGTGTGACCGGGACTAAACATTTTCTGGGAGTGGGTGGGTGGGAGGTGGGAAAGGAGTACAGTCGGCGGCGGAAGGCTTGAATACTTGTAGGGGAAGGGGGGGGGGCTGAGAGGGAGGGGGGCGAACTCCGCCAATATTCACTGCCACCCAGGCGCCCACCTCCTCCTCTGCGGGCGCGTGGCCGCTGTGAGCCATGGGGCCGCTCTGCTGGGCCCGTGGCGGCAGGAAGCGGCCTGTTTATACAGCTGCTCTGCCGGGCTCCTGCTGCTGCTGCTGAGTCGGGCTTGGGAGAAGGAGGAGGAGGGGTTGGGTGGGAGAAGGAGGAGGAAGAAGGAGGGGGGTGGTGGTAACGGCGGTGGTGGTTGTGGTTGTGGAGGAAAAGGAGGTGTGGACGCTGTTATTGAGATGAATGGATGAAGAGCGAGAGGCGTCAGTCCTTGTTCGTCCTCGCCGGAACGAGTGACCGAATGACCGATTGACCGATTGACCGATCGATTGACTGAAGCCCCTCCCCTCCACACCCCGCACCCTTTCCGGCCGGTGTCCACTCTTGTCCACTACCCACCACGACCCTCCCCCCCTTCCCTCCCTTCCCTCTCTCGCCCGCCTCCCCCGCACCCTCCCCCGCTGAGCCAGGCGTGTGGAGGGACCGCAGTGGAGAAGTGGCATTTCCTGCGCATTCCTCGTGATTTAGGTTATAGCACCTCCGAGTGGGGGGCGGATGGGGAGGGGGTGTATTGCGGGGGGTAGAGGCGAGCCGTCCAGAATGTGGTGTTGTTAACCGCCTACGCTGAATTAAAGACGCTGCTTAGTGCTGCTGCTGCGTTTCGCAGTAGTGCACCAAACACTCTCAACAACAACAACACGTGTGTGTGTGGGTTTGATAAGCACAATACATAATAATAAGCGACGTTTTGGGCAATGACCCTTCTTGTATGTTGAACTTCTTTCGCGCCGTACGTAGCCAACCGTGCTAATCGGAGGTGCGGGGGAAGGACAACAAACGAACACATCAGTGTTCATTGCACAGAGAGAGGCCAGTAGCAAGGCAGTGGCCAAGAAGAGACTCCGCCTGTAAAGACCATGGGGCCCTGATGATAATGATGAGAATACAAAATACGAGTCCTGACTATAACTATTATAACTAGCATTATAACTAGTATAACTATTAATACTATAACTATTCAATTGCCAATTTACAAAAAAGGGTCGCGAAGAAACACGCGTCACATGATGGCCCTTCTTCATAATACATGCAGGAAGGGCCATTCCGCGAAACGTCGCCCATTATATATTTGTTTTATATATTTATATATTTGTTTGATGTGAATCCGGTGTTTATTGAGAATTAGTAAGATGACATTCTCCACCGCGCGAGGCTCTGCTCATCCAGTAGAGGGCTGCGAGGGCCGATTTCCTCTCGCGAAGCCACTGCCTCGATTTAGAAATTCGGCAAGGATTTATGATCGCAAACACGGGACAATAGCAGAAAAGAACAATAGCAGCAAGAACAATGCCACCAAAGAACAAGAGCATCACCAGCAACAACAATAAGAACAAACGTAACATTTCAAGTTGTGTCTTGAGGCTGGTGCTCATCTGCGTTGGTGTTGACGCTCGCAAGGGAAAACATTTGATGGATATTCCACATTCCTATGGTAGGGGGCAGTGTGTTTACAGCAAGATCACCTGTTGATGTGCGACAAAAGTGGCGTTGATTGTATCGGCCATACAGCAGCTGTGATGATTGATGATACAGCAGTTGCTTCTCATTAACGATGATTCCACTTCTAACTGGGATTTGGATTCGTCTGCATCTGAGAGTCGAGCACACGTGATGGATTGCAATAATTGATCTTGCTTGGGGACGATGTCCGCCTGTGATCCGCCCCTTTGGATGGCGACGGTTGGTGGACCACACCGAGATGGTGTGGAACTCCCTCCTTCACGTGGGCGTCGAGGAGGAGTCGGACCCTGGCTCAAATGTGGACTTCCACCCATTCTATCTGTGTGGGATAGAGTGTTTCTACCTCGCACGCGTGGACTTTCTCCAGTTCCCTTCCACAGGAAGCCACACTCTCCCTATTCCTGAAGAGAGAAGTGGCCAAACATCCCAATGTAGCGGGACCTGGGGCACCATATTTGCCGTATCTGTCTTTATCGGCAATCACCCCGGCCACCACAACCGGTACACCACATCCAGTATACGTCTCGCTGTGACCACGTTTCTCCAGCGACCCAAAACATAGTCATGTAATTTAAAATTAAGCCCTGCGCAGGACCACCCTGGAGCCTTGAGACTCGGAAAAATACAGAAAAATTACGTAATTACAATTCACATGATCATGTTTATGATTATCACAACAATGCATCATCCACACTCTATGTATTTATATCTACTTGTTTATCTAGAAGAGCCACACTGAGCCGCAGGGCTCCTTCTCAGTCGCGTTCTGCATTATCTCGCTTTTGTTTTAACGACGAATCGTGTTTGTTATACCACGTGGGAGGAAACCAGAGCACCCACCCGGGGGAAACCCCACGCCTTGCGCAACGGCGCAACACGCCACCCCCGTACAGATTGAAACAG